CCCGTCCAATTCTTCACGAAACAGCAGATCGAAATACAAGATTAAAGTTTTTTATATTAACTCTCGATGCACCCTATTAGAAAGCATTAAATAACGCTAACCTGCAAGGCTGAAGGGCTATTTACGCGACGCTCTGCATCTTCTGTGAGTATTCGGCCTGGCTCGGGTAAAGCCACTTTAATCTGAAACGATGGTAGTTCTGTGTAATCCCCCCCAGCTGCAAGCCAGGCAGACAATTGGCAATATTCTTTATTTTCGTCACCAGTTCTTGGGTCCTCTGTTTGAAGAAACCGAAGAGCCAGAAGATACTCAATTAAAAGTATATCAGCCAACGCATCACCAACCACAGTATTGAGAAGACTTGCAAAGACTGATAGAGGATGAGCACGGCCTGATGCTAGAGTTGAAGAGCAGTGTGTGGGCTCAGATTCCTCTTGCTGCAAGAAGGATGAGACAGCATCTGAGCCACTGGAAGTATGTTCGAATTTTGAAATGAGTTCAGGATACGAAAAAAATGAGATGTCCGGAAGTTTGGAGAGACACTTAACTGTGTTCGGTGAAATAACCACAGTACCATGTCCATTAGCCTGTATGAAGGCAAAAGAAAGCAAAGTTAATGAAGATGAGATTTTGATAATGTCCAAAGCAATCATAAAAGCTATATTCAAGAATTTGGTGGACAGATAGCAGTGATATCTCAAGGCTTGAAAATAATGAATTATAAAAAAGGTGTGCCGAACCCACAAACGTTGTGGTTCAACATTAAACCTAATTAAAGAAAGCAACACCACAACGTTTGTAGGGTGGCACATAAGAGACTATGGCATGGCAAGTCATAGACTTGGTAATAGGGATAGACAGGATATACGCGGCGGCGATTGGAGCTAGTTGGCTGATAGTAGGTTTTACAAGAGACGTGGTCGATGTAGCAAGGACATGACCATGAGACTTACTCAGAGGCTTTAGCCTCAAACTAATCACACAGACGCAGGAGAAGGCGAATAAAGCCTCGAGTAGCACAGATGGGGGTCAGGGGTCGAGTGAAATACGTGTACCAGGGAGATAGCAGACGGATTCTACGGTGCAAGAGGGAGACTCTGATAAGACCCAGGGAAGGAGGACTACGTAACAATATGACAGATTCTAGTCAACATTCCCAGCACAAGAGTGAAGGGGGTGATAACGACAGCGTGGAGTGTGAAAGGTTTTCATGAATGCCGCTCGAAGGAGCACACCACCTAAATTGAAATAAACACGGTAAAAAATGTTATAGTAAAGGCCTGATAGGAGGATATAGGAAATGTGAATAGTCCAGAGCAGAACTGTTTAGCACACGTTTAGTCAAAGGATAGGCTTCACTTGTCTCTTTGTCGAGCTGTACTATGGTGTACTATGGCGAGACTCACTGACGATGCCGACTACGATGCCGGCGAAACACCTGGGAATGTACCACATCCACGGTCCTACTCTGAAAATGATAATGCATATAATGGACTCGGGATTAGGTGCGTTCCTCTAAGTCTTCCTACCAATATGACCAAGTTACGAAAACAAGGTCAAACAACTTCTTTACGATAATGCTTGTAGGTCACATGATGTCAGTGCTTTACACCTACCATTGCCTCAACAAATATTCTTATCCAGACTGGACCACAGTACCAACCTTTTCTAGGTCTCAACAACCTCCTAAAGGGAATCGAACCTGGGTAGTTCGGC